TGTTAGGTATATCAACTCTATGTATTAGTAAAAGTATGTATTATAATAAAATAACAACTAGGTATATAACATTAATTTATCTAACACAATTCACTTTAGCAATTAAAATACAACCAGCACATCCTGTGCTCAAAGACCGAATGCCGCGGCCTACAAAAACCCTCCCTTTTATACAGAGAAGATATGAATGGGGGTTATATGCAACTAGTTTAACGATACCGAGTAATAATGAAACTACCTTCTTTTAATATAAAATATCAGATTTTTCGAAAATATCCATATGAACCCTAACAATTGAAAGCAAACGTCCTCGGGGTTGATCACTAACACGATATATACTTATAAAAATAGCTGCCCATTATACCATTTTCTCGTACAGCCAAAAACCATACTAGATAGAGGCAAATTGTTAAGAGCTCTGTCGCTAAGGAGGACAATGAAGAGATACCATCATGAAAGCCACGAACACTCTGTCAAGAGTGTAAGACTATTAGAAATAATACTTTTTAGTATACATAAAAAATTATTTCCATATAAAGGTGATTTGGGCGATACTTGAAAGGAAGTGGACATTCTTAAAAATTATGTAATTTTAATTATTTCAAAATTTCTTCTTTACTACATATAAATGGAACAATAAAACGGTAATATTTTCTGACAGTAACTCTTTACAAGATAAGCAAACCATTTTATATGAGTACAATTATTGTAGAGATATAATAAAATCACACAAACACCTCCTCTTCACACAGTTCTTCCCTAATAATGTATGTCAATATTGCCTTGCCTTTATCCTATTATTTGGGTATATCATCTTCCACTGATCCCTATCACTAGTTGTATCTGAATTTACTCTTCATTTATACATATCATCTTTCACACAATCCACCAATCTTTTTGTTGACCTCTCCCTTTCTATCATCCATCTACGTTCACGTTAAATCTTGAATGCCCATAGCCATCCCAAATAATGTACGCTTTTTTAACCTTAAAGTATTTACAAACAAAGTCTTGACTCATTACAAATTAAGTCAGATATAGCGACTAGTAATTTTTTGGTTTTTCTTTCTTTAGATACTATTATACAATGGTGGCAATCAGGCAAATGACCCATCTGACTGTAAATGGTTACATGTGAACACCAGGACACGCGTTGGCGTTGTTTTTTTACACTCCTACTGTGGCAAACAAGCATACAGCCCATCTGATGGTAAATGGTTACCGTAGCCTATGGAAGTCTGAAACACCAGGGGATTGTTCTTCCTCTTTCTATTATAATATCAAATGCAAGTCCCCCATCAATATTTCTAAACCAAGTCTAAACTCTACCCAAGTACCAGAATCACTACCATACAACCCCGTCACCCCAACATAATCTATCTTAATTCACTTACTTCCCTATTCTGTTCCATTCAATTCAAAATCCGAATGCGTTCTCGAATTATTCTCGAATCACGACATCTCGAGAAATGAGTCGGGCTGTAATCGAATTACAACCCTCGATTGAATGGGATAGTTTTAAGTTGCACCGCAACCCCGGCCAGATGTAACACAGCGTTAAATTGAAAGCCTATTTTGTGACAGTCTACACTTCAGATAAGGTTGCATTGAGATTCTGTAGGTACTCTATTGGTAGTTTATTTAGGAAAACATGCGATATAAAATTATCATTACATAGTATAAAATGAAGTCGCTGTAGCTGTCTGTCCCTATGTATGCTTAAATATTTAAAACCACGCAACGGATTTTGAAGCGGTTTTTTATAATAGATAGAGTGATTCTAGAGGAAGGTTTATATATATATAATACATGTATACCCAAGCGAAGCCGGGGTGAGTAGCTAGTAGTTAATAATTATAATACCCCTGGACTATTCACACAGCGCCATCTAGTTCCAAGCTAAGCAGAGGTGTTATGGCTACTGGACAACTGATAGGTATACTTAGATACATTTTTTTATTACTATATACAGAACATACATAAAAAATACCCTGACCAATATAAACAATCATATATCTGTATATTTAATACTCTAAAAACACTGCAATATGTTAAAAATTACGCAACACAAGTAAAATTTATACAAAGTAAGGAAAGTTAATATTTCTGTATAATTAAAAAAAACATTAACACACTAACATAGAAAACTGACATACTGACTACACATAGAAATGTATACATAGAAAACAGCCAGGCCAATATAATCTATCATGTATCAAATAAATAAAATCCTAATTAATAAAAAAATCCTAATGGTGATCGTAAATATATAAAAAAGAAAGAAACTATATTTAATAGTCTACAAACATTGCAATAAGTTAACAAATTCATAAAACTAAAGTTTGTGTAATAAATTTAAGAGTAAACAAGCGTTAAACTATATATCAAAAGCAACTAGTCAGATTTAGGGCGCCTAGAGCAAGCGCCGTCCGGCACTATAAATCTGTGCGAATACACTTGTCATGGACAGCGAGACGTCTAAACGCTTGCACTTGCACCTTTCCAACTAGGTACCTTTCCCTGATCGATTTTACGACTTGCCTGAGCCGAGGTTCGAATACATAACGGTGCCCTCAGACTAAAGTCATATCCGTCAGACAGAAGTTGGCCTTCAGCTGCTCTATAAGTTCTTTCGCGGATTTGGAGTGCCATCTGCACACGCCCCTTGTTGATCGGTGTAGCTATAAAGGCCAGTTGCGGCCAACATCTTTAGTTAAAAAAGGACCGTAACTTCAATGAACTGTTTGTAGCCACCAAAAGGCCCACTTGATGGAAAGAGGTAACCGTGGCCTAAAGACAGAACCAGCATCATTCCACCATCGTACAACAAAACGTAGAGGGGGGATCCAACCATCCACAGTGGACAACCCTGCAACTCAGACCAACCGATTTGCATCATCTTTCCTTATGCGTACAGCTAAGAAGTCACTCCCAGACTCAATGTTTCCTGCCTCATTATTGTCATTTTATCTTTAACGCAAGAGTGAGCCCTATAAGCTTGCGAGTAACAGTTTAATCCGCAATGTCACGTTAAGTAAATTTAGTAATAAAAAACCTACAGGACGGATCTCACAAATTAATGTAACCCGTCCTCTCTCCTATACTCTGTAATCCACTCTACATATTAGAACACAGCTTGTAAAGCAAACCTAGCTGGCGGTGGAAGTGTATATGTGAGACGGAGGTACCCACGCAGACCACTTTGTAAACCTTCCTCAGTTAATGTGTCATCTCTAGTTATTTACAGGTACCTATGAATGTATGAACGTATGTATGTAGCATGCAAATGAGACGTTGTCATTGACATTTGGAGGCGTAACACGGTTAAACGCACATAAATCAGCGTTCGGATAAAAACAATGGCCCCGGGCGACAATGGGATTGGTGAGTTGGCGCTTTGTTCCAGTTCGTGACGAGTTTCATAGGTACCACACGTACTCTGCACTCGGTTATAAATGATGCGTTATCTACGAACTCGTCGGCGATGGGATACTGCATTTGTATTCCTTGATACCGGTTTGTTGTTATTAAAAAAAAAGTTTAATTTGAAAATAAAATTTTCTTTTAGATATGTACATAATAGAACATACGTGTAAAGGCTGTATATTTATCTAATATTTGTGATTCTTATTACAAATTCGGTATTAATAAAAAAAGTTATGGCTAAGTCAGTACAAATCGCTGAAGCAGAATGAGAAATAAAAAAAGTATAAATATAGAATTTGCGATATTTGAAATATTTATCGTGTGATAGACGTGGAAAAAGTGTAAAATACTATTAGGTGACATATCACCTATAAATGTAAAGTTATAATAATCTTATTTATTTGTTCGTTAATCTTTATATCCCAAATTGCGTAGCTGTATTTCAGTTACCAGTTCCTTACTTTATTGACATAATTAATTAAACTTTATTATAATACTATCTACCTGCCCCGGCTTCGCACAGGTGTACATATATTATACATGTAAACCTTCCTCTTGAATCACTCTATATATTGCTATAAACTGCATTAAAATCCGTTGCCTATCTTAAAAGATCTAAACGAATAGACAGCGGAAACGACTTCATTTTGTACTATAGAAACATAAATATACAATCATAACAACCTCCTAAGACAGAGTAATATGCTAAGTTATGCACATAAAAGAAACGAAAATAATATTAAAAAACAAACAGATCTAAAGTAAAAAGTAAAGTTTAATAGAACAAAATGTGTCACCACAATCAGTCGTGTGAACATCAAAGTCAGATGATTAACGACGCGCCGTGACAGTTCTCGTCTTTGAGCTTTCTGAAGAAACCCAATACTATTGATTGAGTCTACATTCAAAGCGCAAATGACAAAGCGCCAGCATTTTGAGTATTAAGTTTAAGGTTTCATCTTTTCCGCAATTAATAAAATATTATCGAAATCTATTTATAGATTCAAAAGTATAATAGTTGGGTTTCTTATACGTAGTTATAATAAACTGATAGCCCATTTGATGGTAACTGGTAACAGTCGCCTATATACATGAACAGCACTATGGACAACAGGTTGTTACGTGTTGCCCGTGATACCACTTGTGGAGTGAGGGGAAGGGAATTGTTAGTAATGCGAACTAGTTGGCCAACCTAACATGTACTATGTTAGGTAGACCTCCACACGGTTCCTCCTAGAAACCATCGTGATAAATTTCTAATGAATTTGTCACTATGGTCTAACTGACCTGACGATGATAGACTTTGCTAATTGTGGTAAATTCACCATGAATTTGTCATGATTTGTTTCCAGGGGGAACCACGTAGCGTATTTTTCTAGCAATAGGGTTATTAGTCCACATTACTGACAATCCCCTTCCTTCCTCTTGGTGATATTAGCATACCAACATGGATATAATATTAATCTCTAGTCCACATTAATAGCGGCCTGACTTATACTACATACAGACTTGTATAGGCTATCAAAATTTTATTAGGGTTGAAAAGAGCAACATTTTCCTGGAAGGTTTAAAACTCATGACATTCATAAACTCGTATAATTTACAGTTGCATTTCTTACATAACTATTTACCCATACATCACATGTTATAAATATTGCCCAAGTCCGCCCATTTATAGTATTGGGAGTAACCGTACAGTAGTAAATAACAGACATGTCACAGTTAATGATTTACTACAATAAATTATAGATATATTAACTCTGAACAATAACTTTAAAAACTGACACGTGAATGAAGAAAAAGTAACAGTTAATATTTTGTGTGATGTAGATTTATCTGTTATATACAAATTTTAAGTACGTTGATACATAAGTTCCGCAGGAATTCAGGAACCATAATTAAATTAACTATAATATTAAAATTAAGGTTAGAACTTATACAATTGTTTTAATGTGTTAGGGGATGGTTAGATATGTATTTTAATATAAAATACAACACAATAAGGAACATATTCTATGTATATAGGTATCTATTTAAAAAAATAACTCGGTATTTATATTAGTTTTCCAGTACCCATAACACAAACTGTACTTAGCTTGGAATTAGATGGTGCTGTATGAGATTAATATTGTTATTATACAAATCGTTTTAAAATTTTCAATATTATGAGTATAAGTATTTTTATAAACCATACATTAATATTTTTCACATTACCAAAAATGATCTTGAAATATTAAAATCAATTTGAAACTTCTTGTAAATCAATTACTTATGATTAATACTTACTTGTTTTTAATAATATAAAAATAGACTTTGTTTTGAATATTTCCATATAATATCCATTCCATATAGTATCATTCTTCTTCTACAGTATCTATAGGCTCCGCAACATGCACCCGATCTCTTTTAGAATCATACATAGGGTTCCTGAAACCTCTATTAACGCTCAAACCTATTGGTGTTCCAGAGTCTCTCCTAGTTAGTGATACTATACTCTCCGTCCTCCTCTGAAATCTAGACAGAACCATTCCAGGCCTATTCAGGTTCAAATTAACCCTCCAATGCTCTGGAATTCTATAATAATATAAATACAACGCACCCATAACAGCCACAACAGTGAAAAACATTGAGACTGCTATTTTTATATTTAGTCCTGATTCTGAGATGGGATTTCCACTTATCGCGGATATCTTCAAATCCCGGCTATTCATTCGAAATTGTATGTCATTTGTTACTTGAGCACTATTACCAGTATATTCCCCTTTATCTACAACAATAACTTGAACTTGGCCATCGCTACTGAGGTCTGCTTCATAGTCTGAAATAACGTCTGTATACTCCTCTCTTTTCAGCACTTGAGGTAATCTACTTATATGCCACTGGATTTTGTCACTTCCATAATCATGTATGATTTTTGAAACAAACTCCTTGAAAAACATCATGTCAAAACTTCTGTCAACTGCAAACACTATGTACCCACCACAGATTTTGCAACAGTGACCAATAGGCTGGATCGGATTAGCGCATGTTGGTACAGAACAAAATTTGTCAGTACAGTCGATATTGAGACCATATTTTTGGCATGGACAACCACTTCTGGAATTGCACGAAGTTTTCATAACATTTACTCCTGTCCCTTGAAATGTATTTAGTACAAACTGCTGAGATTGATCTCTCCCCGCCGACACAAAATTCGAAAATTCTTCGGAGGTACTTATTGTTATACTTTTACCAATCCTTATCTCTTTAACTATTTGATCATCATCCGGAAGAACAACTGTAAATTGTGCATTTTCTGGAAATTCTACAGTATCGTCGTGACATGGTATTCGTTCTGCATCAGGCGTTGCATCATTAAATTTCATTGAACTCCACATATCGGATTGGGCCCATTTCGTAACCGAATGATCCAAATAATAAACATTCCTATCATCAGTGCAATTAGTATCACTTGGATCTGCACCGAAATTAACGACACCGTCAGCAAAGCCTATTTCTCCTTCTATTGGTAATATCAGTTCACTTACAGATGTTTCTGACTCTACCCGTACTGATTCAATTATATTGTCAGGGAAAACGACAGTTTGTCTTGAACATGGCAACTTTCCATACATAAAATTTACCGGTAAATTGAAACTTCTATTTGGTAACCACTTGACTATAGATGATGATGTGGATAATACGAAAGCTGATATCAAGAGAATATATATTTTCCACATAATTGAAACCGCTCTATGATGTCGACTCAGCTAGCGATAAATAACAAATGGAAATTTCATGCACACAGCGAAACTTGATGCTGACAGATGTTTTCTCGTTATCGACGCGATATTTGTTAGGAATGATGTGGCCATTCGAAATTCTATACCTGGTTTTTATCGTATCATGTTATAGTGAATGTTTGTAAATAAATTTATATTTTAAGTCTAACTATATGGATATTACTAATACGTATCTCAGATAATAAGCGACCACAGAGGATCAATAGTAATTTACAAAATTATCGAGATATAATTAACTTATTAAATTTAAATATATCTGAAGAATATATTCAACAGAAACAGGGTAATAAATATTCTTTATCTGGGCAGCGGAAATTAAATATCTTTTCTGCGTACCATTACTAGGAATCGTTCGTGTACGAAATTACGCTAACTGAATATAAAATAATGTTATGTATATTAAATTAATTTTTACAAATATTCACATTATGATACACGTATAATATAGATTTTATTTGCATAAAGTATTAATTTTTAATTATATAATAAAGTATTTTATTCATTTTTATCTATTCATTTATTTCAGGTATCAGTATTATGTTAGTAAACAACTTACATACAATATTAGTCTCTCAATTCATATATCTATATCCACATCCAGATGCACTGGGTTCCGCAGCAGTGCAGTGGTGTCCAATGCCTTTGGAGTCAACAATCCCACATATTTACTATAGTGGTTAGGAGGCTGTTTGGGCTCATTATTACTACCACTTGTTAAAACTTTCTACTTCTAACATACCTCATCATTATCATCATCATCATCAGCAGTCCACTGCTGGAGATAGACCTCTCCCAAGGCACACCACTGGGTACGATCTTCAGCCCTTCTCTTCCAGTTACTACCCTACGTATGTCGTCGCCCCACCTAGCTGCTAACCTACTTTACACTTGTTTTTTAGGTAATGGAATAGTGTATCTACTGGCAATAACTGTATACATTGGTGGGGCTCTTGTGCTCCAGCTACTTAGTCCATCGTAGTGAATTCAATTGTCCCATGCCATATTGTTATATTTGTTGTTATTTATGTTATATTCAAATCTCTACATTACATATTTACGCTTTATTTTCTGTGTGGTAGGAACTAAAGGCCACGTATATTTTATAATTGACACAGACAGAATGAGTTATGTTAATAAGGCCCTGAGGGAATATAGCTGATTTAGCTTGTCAAAGTTATAACAGAGCAGTAGGAAAACCTAAATCACGATCGAATTATGGTGATACAAATATTTTCAATGTAAATAACTAAGCTAAATTTACAGTTATACATGCCATATATACATTGAATCTGTTTGTTTTATTTTATAATTCCTGTAAATTAATTAATAATAACAATAACCTTGTACAATTCACACAGCGACATCAAGTCCCAATCTAAGCTGAACTTATGTTATGGGTACTAGATATAAATACATACATACTTTTTTTTGTAAATACATATACATAATGTACATACATAGAAAACACCCAGTCGATACAAACATTCATACTCATGAATACAAAGTAGCGTGCGAGGAATCGAACCCGCGACCAAAGCAGTGTGCTAAACCGCTAGACCACCGAGGCCGTCGTCGTAAATTAATTGTAAATTAATCTTACCTAGAATTATTTATTAGATGGTAAATCATTATCATTACATAGTATAAAATAAAGTCGCTGTCGCTGTTCTCCGTCCCTACGTACACTTAAATCTTTAAAAATACGCAACGGATTTCGAAGCGGTTTTTTTTAATAGATAGAGTGATTCAAGAGGAAGGTTTATATGTATAATACATGTACACCCGTGCAAAGGCGGGGCGAGTAGCTAGTTTCTTTATAAAACGAACAATTAATATTGTATATTAAAGTAATAGTTACAAGAGAGATATACTATTATCTGTTATTAGATAATGACATTCATATATTAGTAATATGTATATTAAGTAATCTATAATTATTATTATAAAAAGTATATAATACCCAAAAAGTATATAATCCATATCATCTTCGGATTTTAAAGCTTCTTTTTTAATAGATAAAGTGAGTCTGGTTTATGTATATAATCTACATCCGTGCTAATCCGGGGCGAGTAGCTAGTATTTTATATTTTTCTTTATTTTAATATATGTTAGCAACCTTCTTCAAGACTCTTGAAAGACTTTTATCGTTTCTTCTATTTGATATTAGATATATAGATATCTAATCACACATGAGATAATAGAATTATTTCCAATGATATTATTGTATTGCATTATTTATATGTATGAAATAAATTGTTCCCAGAAGAGATAACTCTTTTGCAAACAATTTACTTGTATATTTATTGATACAATTCGTTTACTCAACGAAGCTTGAAGCGTCTACATCATATATCACATAAGTAGATACCTATATTATAAACCCGCTAAGAATTATTAGCAACCTTAACGTTTATATCTTAGAGTTGCCCATAAAAATACGTATAAACAAAAGATTATCCGAGTTCTGGGAGGCATTGCCGCGTTTGCGTGATCCTTAGGATTATTCTCATCTTGAGACGGCAATAAAAGTCATGGTGGAGCATACGCGATCCTATTATGGGATACGCTATGATTTATCACAGAATAACACCGGTAGGTGGTTAAGTACAAACCATTAATGACTTTTGGAGGGGTGGAAATTTAATAAGACGCCGCGATCGTGCCAGGCTGCGTAGTTATGCAAATTTTATTACTGGAAAAGCCTCATCGTGGAATACTTGGGTCGACGTTAGGAACTTTTAGTTGACGGTTTAGTTGACATTTGGTTGACGGTTATTAGTTGTTTTAGTTCTCATCATCATTACATAGACTAAAACAAAATCGCTGACACTGTCTGTCCCTATGTATGCTTAAATCTTTAAAACTACGCAACGGATTTTCAAACGGTTTCTTTAATTGATAGAGTAATTCAAGAGTTCAGGAAAGTTTATATATATAATACATGTAGACTCGTGCGAAGCCGGGGCGAGTAGCTAGTTCTTTATATACCTATTAAGCACAAATTAGACACAGCTACTGCTGTAGCTACCACCTTCACACCCAGTTCAATTTAAAAGAAATGGCAGTTTCTCTTTTCCCTTGAACCGCATAGCGTCGTATCACCCGACCGCGTTATTACTTTCTTTGCTTAATATTTATTCTTTCTTATTCTACAAAGCTCTTAAGAAACGTAATATTATGTATTTAGTCTATAATATTTCTCAATAACTATGTTATGAAATGCAGAAATGTAACAATGTCAAAATAGATGTGAGCGCTGTCGAAAAAAAACAATTAAAACGGCAAAAAAGCAAGTATGCTGACTGGCACTAGGACCATTCATGGTCCACCCAATTTAAATATATATATACTAGTATAAAATGCCGTCGGTTTAGAAAATAAATATTTTACATTTGATAACCCAATTCTTGAGGTATACATTTCGTACTTATCGCGACAGACACGCACCAAATATAGGCCCGTATGTTTTCACCCCAGCATGCTCTGTTGATCGTAAGAACATCGCTGAAACGCACAATATGGCAGATGGGTAGATAACAGCGGCCTGTAAGTGTTTGGGTTTTACGGTTACCCCATCAAATTGTGGGTTCCTTAGGGTTCCGTACAGCCTTATTGTTAACTTCGCGATTATGGTCCTCAAAGCACTGGAAAGTAGCAGTTTCATGGCACATTAATATATTAATATCAAAACCAGTTGTTACAGAATTTTTACGGCTTATATTATTGGATGAGATGTTTCGAGATAGATAAAAATCACCATCCTCGTCTGTCTGTCTCTCCGGATACGTCTTCTAAACTACACCCCTGAATTATATATCTTTATTTTTAAAGCAGGTTGACCTTGATCATATTCTTATATCTAGATTAAATTATCTGTTTGTCTGTTTGTTTCTCCAGATAAGTCTTCTAAGTGTTTTGCTGATGACATGAATATTTTTTCTAAAATATCAAATCTATCTGATATTGCAGCTATTCAGTCTGACTTACATAGACTAGACAACTACTGCGTCACTAACAAGTTAGATTTGAACCCTTCGAAGTGTTTTTCGGTTACATTTACACGCAAACTTAACTCTATTCATAATAATTATTTGCTTAAGGGTCAACAGCTAAAAAAAGTATCGCAGATAAATGATTTAGGAATAACACTCGATTCTAAATTAATATTCGACACACATATTAACAATATTGTTAATAATGCAATGCGCGCCCTGGGATTTGTTATGCGTAACTCCAGCTGCTTCGTACAAGCTAAAACTTTAAAAATACTTTACTGTACACTGGTGCGCAGTAAGTTGGAGTATGCATCTCAGATTTGGAACCCCAGATATGATACGTACATTGCACGTATCGAAAATGTGCAGAAAAAATTTGTCCGTTTTCTTGCCTACCGTATCAAACAGCAATATGACTCTAAACATTATATTAGTATGTGTAAAAAACACCACTTACTTACCCTTGAGAAACGCCGTGAAATTGCTGATATCATTTACTTGATCAAAGTAGCCTCCGGTGTCATAGACTGTCCTGAGTTACTTTCAAAATTTAATTTTAATGTACCAGCTAAACGTACCAGATTTACTCCTTCTATTTCTATACCTTCTGTATCATCTAACTATAGGCAAAACAGTTATATGTGGCGAGCAAGTAATAACTTCAATAGATTAAGTAGGGTATTAGATATTGATTTGTTTTCCGATAGAATATCTTTAGCGAGGGCCGTGATGAGCAGGCAATTCTTTGAGTTATAAGTATTGAATTTAATGTTACTTATATGCATTTCCATTATTCAAAAATGTTTGTTTGTTAATTTTAGCATATGTTTTAATTTAGTGGATTGTTATTGCTTGATATATGATTTTATGAGTATTTATAACACAAACACGCCTCTCGTGTTAGTACTGTAATTTATTTTATATTACGTTTCTATCTGTGAA